TGTGTGTGTGTGTGTGTGTGTGTGTGTGTGTGTGTGTGTGTGTGTGTGTGTGTGTGTTAATCCTATTTACAGCTGCTAATCTGAAAAGTTATGTCAAAGATGCCGTGTAGGTTTACCCCAACAAAACGACACATAATATTCTTTTGTGTTTGCACTGAGTCGATGATCAAAGCCGTGGATGTGTGAGCAGTGCTGAGCGGTTATCCAGAAACACCTCAAATATACTGTGCAGTGGTGTTTACTGGTCTGGGGTCTGGTTGCATGTAATGAAAGAAGCCAAACATCCATTCATTGCTTAATGTGGAAATGAGGCACTCGTGCATAAAATTCTGTCATGACTTAGAGTCAGAAAAGAGGAAATGCACAAGTGTATGTAAAGCTGTTTGTAATTAAGGTTGAAGAGTTTAAGCATCTGGCTCCAGATAACTGCCCTCAAGAGTTCAACAGTAAAGCTGATGCGTGAACGTGTGCATGTGTCCTGTATGTACTGTTTGGTGTGCTGATAATTTCCTCTCTGCCTCCAGTGGACTGCATTGACCCCAGCTGTTCGGCCCATGGGGTGTGTATTCATGGCGAATGTCACTGTCAGCCAGGCTGGGGTGGAGCCAGCTGTGAAATCACCAAGGCCATGTGTCCAGACCAGTGTTCAGGCCATGGCACCTACAATGCAGAGACCAGCACATGTGCCTGCGACCAGAACTGGACTGGAGCTGACTGCTCTTTAGGTGTGTGCACTGTTTACCTGTCTATGTCCGCATTTCATTTTCTTATTTCTCAGAGTGAAACCTTCTGTTGAAGCATGTGTAAAACCAGAATACTGTACAGATGTGTTATGAGGGGATTTAGAAGTGAAGTGACGGGCATAAAAAATCCAAATCAGTTACAAATTAGAAGCTACTTAAGATGACAGTGTTAGAGGTGCCCTGAACGCTGCAGTACTGGACGCAATGCAACCAAGAAGATTTAAGGTAAATAAAAAAGTTTCATTTTATTTTTCAAACTCCAAAAGAGAAATAAAGTCAGACTATCATCACTTAGTATTGGCCTGTACTACAGAAATCAGCATGTTGCATGAAAATGTTGTTAACTCTTTAACAAAACTTAGCACACACAGTAGTGTTACCTACAAAACGCTGTTGCAATCACATTTAATTCATTTCTATCCAGTTTATTTATATAGCACCAAAGTCACTTTTTTCTTTATCCAGAGTACAATGATTGTGCTGCACAGCATGCATCTTTAACGGCTTTAAAAAACAAGAACGGGATGCACGGCATCCATCTCCAATGCACACAGGTATACAACAGGGTCAAAGATCACATATGTCCCTCGGGAAGTTGCACCCTGAGCAGACACTTTTCTGTAGCTGTGCAGGAGCGGCTAGCATGCTGCGAACCCAAGCTTCAGGAAAATAAAGACGTTCTGAGCTCCTTCAGTGCAAGAGTGAGATTTAAGCAACACTCAAACACACAAATTAACACAGTGACTTGTAGAAATCTGTACTGAGCTTTTCCTGAACCTCACTGTACGTAAAGACATCATTTGGCGTGCACAGGGTTCAGTCCAGGACGCAGCTGCGGGTGAAATAAGAACAGAGTGCATCAGTGTGCATGCACGTGCTTATATCGGTTCTGCAGTCGATGAAGTAATTTCTCTTTGTTACTGTTACAGAGGTGTGTGAAGTGGACTGTGGCAGCCATGGAGTGTGTTACGGCGGCGTATGCCGCTGTGAGGAGGGCTGGACTGGAAGTGTGTGTGATCAAAAGGCCTGCCACCCACTGTGCAGCAAGAACGGAGTTTGTAAAGACGGGAAGTGTGAGTGTGACCAGGGATGGACAGGGGAGCACTGCAACATTGGTGAGTGGATCACACACACACAACATAACTTAGCATTACAACTACACGTAAATAATCCAGTTGGACACAGCAGAGTAGCGCACAGCCTTGAACAACACTACAGATATCTTAGATGAGCTCTTTTCACTGATTGGTCCCGGTGCCATTGTTAACCAGCCTATCACAGTTTCTCATCTTTGTGGTTGCTCTCAGGGAAAATTATGCTGCTGATAATGTGGATGTACATGTTTGTGTTACTTTGTTGTTTTCCAGTAAAACATCTTAATCTGGGCTCAAAGCAGAATTTCCCCTTAGGATCGCTCTGGGTAACTGCTTTTTTGTAGCTGGTGTTAGTTACCAGCACTTGATCTGCTCAGCGCTGCAATTAATGACATCCAGAAAGATTATGGTCTTATAAACGTTGCTTTTTGGTTTTTGCTAATACTGTGCAAAAGTAGAAATATCTATCCAGCACACAGTCACAGGAAGTTATCAGTGTAGTCCTCAAGAAGAACTGAAGCAACAAAGATTTTTCATCTGCATCCATGATCAAAAATAAAGAGGGACCAGAAAACATCCAGAGAGAGTCTCAGAGAAAACACTAATGCAGCTACCGGGGCATGTGCTAAGTGACTTGAGCAAGTAGTGAAGACGGTTGTTTTTTTTATTAGACATCAGCATGACTGAGCCAGTCGACTAAAGAGCAGCTGTTGCTTGTATCGCTGCTGCAGACACTGGATTATGACTGTGATGATCAGTTAAGCGTTCCTTGGTAGAGATCGTCTGTAACCGCTACAGTTGCGTCTTATGTTGATCCATGTTAGAAACAGAGACGTAAAGAATTGCTTCCAGATTCATGAAACTGGGTGATTTCATATCTCAGCTTGGAAACAGCACACCTGACATCGTAACCCATCAATACAAAATAACTGGATTGGTCCTGATAAGTGTTGTTTGCTCTTCGTGGTCACTTTCAGTTAGATCTCTTTTCTTTGCTTCCTCCTATCTGAACTAAATCCTCTTTATTTATGTCTTTTTTCTTCCTTTTTCCTGTCTTCTTAAAGCTCACAATCCGGATATTAGAGTTAAAGGTACTGTACACTGTTTTAAAAACTCTTCTTGTCACTGTTATCACGAGTTTTTTTCTTTTCCTCTCTTCATCCTTTGCTTTTTTTGTTAAAGCTGAACTTTAGCTGCACCAGCGATAGAGTTTATTGATGTATTTACTGGATGCTACAGCTGGGTCCCAAAGAGGGCGAATTCATCGAACCAGTTTACACGAGCTGTAATAACAGCTTGACTTACAGAAACACATTTCCCTGTTACTGTTGTATTCAGTCCCTGTGTGATACTGCATGTCTGATGTCATAATGGCTTTCTGAGTGACTTGGGCCATCTGAGCATTTTACTTTGAGCAGACAGGACCTACACAAGCACAGGTGAAATCAGTATTGATGTCTTTGATGTAGACCATGAAATCTTGGCCTCAGTTTTATTTACACAGCACCAAATCACAACAACAGTCGCCTCAAGGCGCTTTATACTGTAAGGTCGACCCTACAATAATACATACAGAGAAAAACCCAACAATCATATGACCCCCTATGAGCAAGCACTTTGGCGACAGTGGGAAGGAAAAACTCCCTTTTAACAGGAAGAAACCTCCAGCAGAACCAGGCTCAGGGAGGGGCGGGGCCATCTGCTGTGATTGGTTGGGTGAGAGAAGGAAGACAGGATAAAGACATGCTGTGGAAGAGAGACAGAGGTTAATAACAGATATGATTCAATGCAGAGAGGTCTGTTAATACATAGTGAGTGAGAAAGGTGACTGGAAAGGAAAAACTCAATGCATCATGGGAATCCCCCGGCAGCCTACATCTATTGCAGCATAACTAAGGGAGGATTCAGGGTCACCTGGTCCAGCCCTAACTATATGCTTTAGCAAAAAGGAAAGTTTGAAGCCTAATCTTGAAAGTAGAGATAGTGTCTGTCTCCTGAATCCAAACTGGAAGCTGGTTCCACAGAAGAGGGGCCTGAAAACTGAAGGCTCTGCCTCCCATTCTACTTTTAAATACTCTAGGAACAACAAGTAGGCCTGCAGAGCGAGAGCGAAGTGCTCTAATAGGGTGATATGGTACTACAAGGTCATTAAGATAAGATGGGCCTGGATTCTGGATTTAACAGGGAGCCAATATTAGAGAAATCTGCTGTGTCTTTACTGCTGGTCTTCCTGTGAGCTGCTTCCTCCTTTGTCCTGTCCACGTGTATTTGCTACACAGTCAAATGTTCTCATAACTGTCACTGAATTTAAGCAGCTGTAATTTGACTCACACAATTGCCTTTTGCGTTAAAGATGTAAGTCATACTTTAGTTTACACAAGGCAATCATATCATTAGAAGTACAATTTTAATTTCAGTGTTATTTTAAGTAATATTCTGTTATTCCAAGAATATTTACAGATTAAATCTGTAAATATTCCAGAGGCAGAGCTCTAGGATAGCAATGCAGTATCAGCCACCAAAGTGATTGTGGTTATATACGATCGTTTTTGACCGAAGTGACCGAGCAGGAACCAGCAGCGTTTAACCTGAGATAGGTCAAGGAGTTCTCCAGAGATGATAACCCAGAGCGTGGCAGACTAAGGAAGTAAATAGCTTCCTGGCAGGACTCGAGCAACTGATTCTCTGAGTTTTAGGCCTCTACCCTGCACAGTATTAACTTTTACAATTACACTGAATGATTTTCTAAAACCACAGTTATGTTTCTTTTAACCAGTTTCAAAAAATTTTCTCCCTAAAATCTGCTTCCAGCTCTGTGTATTGATTCTCGTGCTCTGCAGGCATGTTTCCAGGGTTTTATATATATAACAAACTCTGTGAAACCTCTTCATGCAGCCTCCAGTTTCAGCCTGAAAAGGCATCTCTTTAAAACAGGGTCCTGCTGAGTCAGCCCAGTTTTGATTATCTATCTGCCAGCATGACGCTGTTCTGATTCAATCTTCACAAAACATTGAATTCCTTCATGGAAAAAAGTTAAAGGTAGAAACATTTTCCAGGAGTAAGTACAATTTCCAACACTGGTCGTAAGGTTGTGTCACCTGAGCTGCTAGTATTAGCTGAAAGGTGAAAGTGTGTTTTGGACCCAGATTTTAATTAACAGTTAATTTCCTGCAGCTCTGATTTGGGCCTCTGACTAGAAGTGGGTTTAAAAAATCGATTTCCCGATTCCAAACGATTTTAGTTTAAACAAAGCGACTTCAAGTCTGAAGTGATTTTTAAATGTATTTTGCCAGAAACGCCTGAATCTCAGCTTAAAGCTCACAAAAGTGTTTCCACTAAACAGCTAAAGCAGCAAACGATCAAAGATGTGAACGCAGGCGTGTGCTGAACGCCGGCAGATTCTGAAGCTGCAGGTTTCGTCACTCTGACCACAATTCACTGAACCAGCAGCAGAACAAGATCAAAAGTGTTTTCAAGACATTGTCATTTATTTCCTTCTTACTTTTGCTGTTTCGCTTCCACCAGGATAAACTCACACTTCCTGCACAGCTCTCTCTCTCAGTGTACTCAGAGACCAGTTTACCATAAAATCTGTTTTCTGCATTATTCGCTGCTTTTTACGCATCAGTCTGCCGCTGTGTTCAGCGCTGTCAACGCGAGTTTTTCCATTTGACCTCCGACTAGAAAGCCTCATTTCTGGCGTTCAATACCAAAGAAATGCAAACTTTTTAAAATTATACCAAATTGCAAAACTCTCAGCTGCGTCTCTAATCAAACCTCAGCAGCGTCAGGTAATGTTTGCATGTTGATTCATGGCTCATCTGCTATAAAAGCCCGGCCAGGAAAATCTCCTTCATGTTTTATCCTCAGTTGCTTTGACACAAACGCATCTGCTGTGATGTTCACACCTCTGATGGATCTCACAGTGTCAGCTTTGTTTTTATACATAGTTAGAAACATAATAATTATGATCATTTATCAGTACATATCCATAATACTTTTGACTGCCTGAGCCTAAACTGAATCGAATCAGTTGTAGAAATCAGTGACGACACCTCGCCCGGGCTGCCATGTTAAGTAACATTAAACCTGCAGTGCAGAACTTTGTTTGCCAATCTAGTTTTCACACCTCAGCTATAAAAGGCTGATGGGCTGTTGCCGTCACCCCACCGGGCGAGTGGGCAGGCGGACAGCACGGACACCCAACTCAAGAACAAGGCGACGTAGGACTTTGAATTATAGGTCCATCAGTGGCTTTAAAGAGGCCAGGGGAGTCATGGCTCACTTTTGGAACCAACTACTGTTTTGGCACTTTTGCATTTTGTTCATTTCTTCATCTCTGTGGCTGCACATGCTTTATCATGCACTAAACTATGCGACACCTCCTGCTCTAAAGACCTTAATCTAGTAGTTTAGAGGAACAGCAGCACAGGCTGTGGTGACAGCCGCTCGATCCTCTTACAGAAGGTTGGTAACCTGATAGTTTGTCAGTATAAAACCAGTTGTATTCATTAACAGAAGCTACGTTGTGTACAACATGACAGCTGTTGCATTGTCATTAGCTTTGTCCTTCTTCTCTCTTCTGAGATCTAACATGTGAATGACGTATTTACACTGCTGTGGTTCAACTTCTTTCTTTATCATTTCATTGCTGTGATCCCAGCTCTTCCTCCCTGCCTCCTCTTCCTTTGGTTGCCATCTTCATTTATCGATCACAGACTAAATATTTGGCAGTGCTGGTTTTGTTTCACTTTACTTTTCTCCCTAATTTTCCTCCCTCTCTCCCTCGTGCCCTCTCCTATTCTCAGGATATAAAGGTAACTCCTGCTAAAGAACAACAAAGGCCTTACTGTCCCAGAATACAATGACTTCACACTCTGCTTTATAACATATTTTTGGTTAACTCCATTTCGTTTTAGGTTTTGTCTTTTCCTTTCACTCACTGTTTTCCAGTCATTCTCAGTGCTCGGTTTAGCTAGACTTGTATTGTCGTATATTCTATTTCTGTGTTTTTTTCTGGTCATTCCTTTTCCTGTCTCTGACTCTCACACACGAAACAGACCATAGATAGATTCACACGAGAGCAGTGAATACAAATAAAAAGTGCACGCACAGTCATAAAGCAAAGGTGTGCGACTCCTGTTTCGTCTTGCATCCACAAGCCTGATATATGTGTTAAATAAGCCAGTTGCTGTCCTCCTGTCTTCGATCTGTCTTCACTCCCCCCCCCCCCCCCCCCCCCAGTCTTTATCTCCATTCCTTGTTCTGGGCTTTGCTTGGTTCTGGTTCTCACTGTTATAATCAGCCTATCTGATTGCCAGCCTCACTGTCGATTTTGTGAATGAGGAATGCCAAACAGAGGCATAAAGTATAGTCTGTGGAGCGCGCAGTCCTCCCTATACTTTGTGCTCTGCCTTTATGTCTACCTGTTGTGTTTTCACATGGATTTAAACTCGCTGCGTCATTTCTTTGCCTGACGAGAAGAACGAGCACAGATGAATCCATATTTCTGAAACAAGCATCCTGTTGAATGGAAATTTCAGTCTTTGTCAGTTCACTGGGTGTTAAAATTCCCTCTGATGTCATTTCCTCTGACAGACAAACCCTTCAGTTTGACATGTTGAGACTTTTTTCGTTTGCCTTTATTCATTTGGTTTGTTTCTGTGGCCTGTTTCCTATTATGCAACATTTCTTTTTCCTTGTTTGCAGATGAAAAGAAAACTTCTCATTTTGCACTAATTAAAGCCGAGCAGCACGCTGTGGCCATTTTGGCTGCTGGCAGTTCTAGTAGTTCATGTGAAAGTACAACATCAGTGCATTTCACCAAAGGTTGACTGTCTGTCTGTCTGCCAGTCTGTGTCTCTCACATGTGGGCTACTGTAATTAACTGTTTTATTTGTGTGTCAGTCTGTGAGTCCATTAATTGGAGAAATGTCCATCGAACGGGGCTGAATGCCTTTATACACATCTGAATTTAACCAGTGTGGGTTTTTGAAGCCTGGTACTTTTGTACTGAAGTTGCTGAGAGAGAGAAGATAAACTTTTTAAAGTTTTGGAAAATGTACGTTAAGACGGAGTGCAATTATTTCCAAAAGAATTTAGAGTGAAAATAGTACAAACACACACAACAAACGTGGCAAATGTTGAAACAAACTATTGTTTTGGTGAAAAAACGATGACGTTACCTTGATGTCATCTAGTGGCCTTAGTGTACTAATGCACCACAGTATCATCACCTGCTGCTATTTGAACCTTAGCCTCAAGGACGCAGCTGCATTTCACGTGTCCAGTAACAGTGATTTTAGAAGTCTTGCCCAAAGCCCCAAACACGGTCCCATCAATACAGAATTTATCTGAATAAAATCTTTTAATAGGAAGAATGCAGATCCTCTGTATCTTACACTGAGCCTGACGATATACATCACGATATATTCTTTTCTTCTGTATAACGTATTTTCCACACTATAAGGACTTAAAATCCTTTAATTTTCTCAAAAATCGAGAGTGTGCCTTATGTATGAATTCTGGTTGTGCTTACTGACCTCGAACCGATTTTGGCTGCAGAAATCTGTTAAAAAATGTTTTAGTACAACTTTGATAAGCCGCACTGCTTGATGGATCGTCAGAGCATTACGGCTGCCGTAGTGAGGAGCTTCGCGGAGTAATCTGGGTCCAAAACTCCGTCAGCTTCAGGTCCCAAAGTCAAACGAACACTGAGAGTTAAAAACGGTCTAAATTCTTTCATCTTTAATAAAATCATCAGCGTTGCTGCTTTACCAGGTGTAACAATTAAGTTTAACATCCAGGCATCCATGAAAACAGAATTTAAATTTAACGGAGTTAGAAGTTAACAGGAAGTTAGCTCGCTAGTTTCCACCTAAACATTTCATACCATGTTCTGACTGAGAGATTTTTGAAACTAATTCAAACGTACAGCTCTGCTGTCACTTCCAACATAAATGAAGACAGAAAACTAAACAGCAGTGGCGTTTGCAGGGTTACTGAAGTTGGGCTAGCTGGTATATAATGTGCTACGTGACTGCTAGCGACACAGCTATGTTAGCATAACATTAGCACAGTGAAGCTGGAGGATGAACTTTTTTCCACTCGATAAAAGTTAACGTGACGGATTCTGGTGGTCAGGGACAAATGCAGTCGCATAGCAGGATGCTGTACACGGGCCAAACTTCAGTCAGGAGAACAACTGAGATTATTCATCCACAATACGAGGTTAGTTATTAATATACTGCAACAACATGGAAACCGAGCAGCTGCGAGAGAATTCAACATTAATGAATCAATGTTACGGAAGTGGAGGAAGCGCAGTTTTTGGCTTTCCCCATATTTCAAAAGTGCTTCATCTCTTTGCTGTGACTGTTGCCCGCCATAATTTGCAGATGATAATGGTTTTAGCTGCTGCGATGCTTTCAACCAAAACAGGCGCAGTTTGATGACATCATCAACATGCGCTATCGCGATAGAGCGATATAGTCAAAATCTCTATCGTTGGCCAAATTTATATCGTTTCTATCGTATGTCGTTTATATCGCCCACCCCTACTTTCTAGTTTAAATTATTGGAAATCGTTGCATTCTGTGTATTTCTATTTTACACCAACAACCTTTTATGTCTGTTAGAATGATTTCTGAATAGCATCTGAAACCGCATTTATACTATGATGGGATGTTTTCTAAAATGTTCTAAACTGACAGCTGGTATAAACATTTGTTGAATGAAACAGATCGATTTTGGCTGTAGCACCGATCCAGCCCAGTCTCGGCCCTATTAGAATCCAAAGGCCAGCTTAACCAAAATTAAGTCCTGTTTATTTTTTCTATTTGATCCTTTTGGATGAATATTTATTGTAGCCCATGTGTGTATTTTTTGCTTGTTGGTGGGTTTTGTCAGATGTTTGAATTGAAGAGTCAACTCAGTGTGGTGCAGCAGAGTCCAGCCTCAGTCCTGTGGGGGCCTCCAGTGCCCCTCTGGCTGTTTTTGACTTTTTCGTCCCATCATGGTCTCGGTGCCGTTTCAGAGGCTTTTCCAAGTCAAGAGGGAAACTCCGAATATGTATCGTTTTTAGCATGAACGTGGCCCTAAATTAAATAAATAATAATGATCTCCTCTCACAGCAATTCAGTACAAAAATATCATCACCTCACTTCAAAGACGTATATAGGTTTAAGCCTGTCTTCACCCTGACGGTCATCATGGTCCCCTCCTTTATTCCCACTGCTGTGACTTTTCTAACTGTGCTTGTCCCCTGTGCCCAGAGGGTTGTCCAGGTCTCTGCAATAACAATGGACGATGCACCTTGGAGGCCAGCGGATGGCACTGCATCTGCCAGTCGGGATGGAGAGGGGCGGGGTGCCACGTTGCCATGGAAACACTATGTACCGACAGCAAGGACAATGAAGGAGGTATGTTTGTGTAGATACACTAAAAGTGGGGAGACAGATGGTTAAATGTATGAACAGATTTGTTTGACGGCTGAATGAACACAGGATAAGGAGAATATTAAATGTTAGCGACACAATAATCCAAACGTCCTCCCACGACTACAAAGAGAGACATTAGGAAGAAATGAACAGTGGACAGGTGCTTTAGAAAGTGGTCGGAGATTACTTTGAAAGGCACAGGTGAGTGCAACACCCCCTCAAAACCCCTCCCCACCCACACGCATTAATTTGCAGGGGTCCGAGGAAAAATGACACATCAGTTTGTACCATCCAATCACTTCAAGAGCTGATAACAACACTGTGTTAGAGTGGGAGAGAGTAAGTACAAAAGAGTACTTACTTACTTTGCCTGTGTATGTATGGGTGCTCAAAGTAATGCCTGATGATGAATAAATGATGAGGTGGTGACTGTGCTGCTGCCTGCTGGGCAGACACTCATGTGCTGTGTTCCAGTAAAGTGTAAAAGCTGGGCACGGCTGCCTGAACGTCTGAGTGCCTCTAACCTGCACTCTCTCTAGTATTTTTACTTTTTTGTCATTTTTCAAATCTGGTCTCCATTAGTGTTTAGAAAAATGATAAATCAGGATGCGCTTTAAGATGGTTCGACCTTGTGATTGATTTACAAACTTCAGCGTTGATCTATGCATGCTGAAACTTATTGTGACAGTGCAGTAGAAAGGTGCACCAACACTACTGGGAACTGGATCTTTTGTAGGCATTACATATGTCAGCTAACAGCTGTTTTATCCAGCAACATATGCACTGTGCCAGTGACACAGCTGGGACTACTTTTAATTTGATCACTATGTTAACAGAAAAGAAAGGAAGAGAAATCAGAGGACTGCTTTGTCACTCAGTGTGTGTTTTTAATGTCACTGTATGCAGAATGTACACGTGGCTTTTATCAACTAATGGAGACAAACGATTTTGTTACCTTGCACTCCTCCTTCTGTCCCGACTCCTTACTTGCTCTCCTTATTCCTCCCTTCAACACGTTTAACTCGTCTGACCTAATCTTATCTGTCTGTGTGTTTCAATCTGGACACTACAACAATAATATTGTTAAAGCAAAACCTCTGAGACAGTAAAAGTTTTAAATATTATTCTAGCCTATCAGCTGACAGTATTTGTCTCTGTCGCTCTTCTTGTCTCACCTTCTTTGTCTCTCTGTACGTGCACACACGCTGCATCGGCTGCATGGTGGATCACAACCTGATCGTATTTTCCTGCATTTATAATTCCATCAGGTTTGACAGACATCACTGGCTAAAGTACAGCCTGAAAATGTGACAGAGCGTCCACTATGTTTCACTCATGGCTGTAGACACTCGCTGTTGTGTGGCTCCTCCTCCGTACACATGAGGACAGCACTAAAGCTGAGTGATAAAGGAGCCGCTGTCTGCAGAAAAAATTGAAAAGCTTTCAGAAGCGCTGAAGACCTGCTGGTTAAGACCACTTCAAAAAATTACAAGGAAGTCTGGCTTTTTGGATGCAAAATATAAAGGGCTCCAGGAACCATACCAGAGTTTATAAAATCATATAAATGCTGCAGATTTTAAACGTGCATTAGTACATTTCCGTCATTGAAACCTCTGCCTGAAAGACTGAACAAATTGTTTATGTAGCTGTTGCAGCTAATGCTCTGCTGCCTTTGTTTCCTATGAACTGAAACATGTTAAGCTGTTCATTAGATTTCACATGTAAAGCTTTTAAACGACTATGTTTTCCCCAACTCTGTGCTAGCTTTGTGACTGTAGGGCTTGTGCATGTTTCAGATGGCTTGGCTGACTGCATGGATCCAGACTGCTGTCTGCAGCCTTCCTGTCAGAATCAGCTGTACTGCAAAGGGTCACCTGACCCAGGCGAGGTGCTCAGCCAGTCTCCATCCTCGGTGCCTCCTCAACAGGTAAGAAGATCCCGTCAGAAATCGACTGCACAAAATGACGACACCTTTCAGCATCAGATTACCCATTTATTTATTTTGCTTTTCTTAGGCTGCCAGATCTTTCTACCAGCGCATTCACTTTCTAGTTGGGCCTGAATCGACTCACATAATCAATGGTGAAAATCCTTTTAATAAAAGGTAAACATGTCTTCTGTCGTGTTTTCTCTTTTCTTTTTCTCTTACATTTTAGGGATAAAGCAGCAACATTGGCATGCACATACAGATGTTCATTCCAAGCCATGGAAACACTGCTTTGCTGTAAACGACTGTTGGATATTGCAGACATCTTACTGTAAACTGTTTTTTTCATGACATATTTTATGGGTTCAGCTCTGCAGTAACTGGATTCACCCGTGTTCATCATTCCACACAGTGTTATTGAGCAGTCACAATAACCATGTACTCCACCTGCACATTGGCAGGGAAAAATCACACATATTCATATCTCATGCACTGCTCTTTGAAGCATAAATGATCTGTAGTCGTAGGTCAAAGTAGGTTTCATTGATGTCCTTGTTTTCTGTGATTGTTTGACTAATATTTTTTAAGCCTGCAGGTCATGGTGTATCCTATTTTTATTTAGCATAATATGAGAAGTGGTAGTTTAGCTTTGCTTTCTGTAGGCATGAAAATGATAAAACATGTTAGCAAAATCCAAATATAGTGCTCAAGGTCTGCTGGTTTCCTTTGCCAAAAGCCATTCCTGCCCACAACTGCCTCAAAGATAGCATTCATTGAGAGTGATAACAGGGAATGACAGGGGCCAGTCTGCAAATACAGAGGCTGAAAGGCAGCTCTACTGAGAGGGAAGAAACATGACAGCAATTGTGTTTGGCAATCTTTCTGCTTTTGTCATATTTTTATGATTTACTGAATATTTCATAAGAGGAGAACCTGTAATACCAAACCTGTAATAAAGTGTGCAGTGTTTCCCTAATGGGATGTACCTGCAAACGTAAAAGATTATTTTAGACATGAAAACACAGATATACTGTGTGTGTGTGTCTGTACTCTTTTAAGGATAAGGCTTACAGCCACAGAGATAAAACTCGTGTGATTTCTAATAGGTAGAAATGCTCAACATCTAACAAAAGACGACTCAGATGCAGGGCAGGGAATGGTTTTGGACTAAAACTGTAGGAATGTAAGGGTCTTCTGGAAGAAAATGTCAGGTAAGGAGCAGCTGTGTCTCAGGTGATAGACTGTGCACAAATTATAAGGTCAGTGCTTTGATAGCAGGCAAAGCATGGGTAAAGTACTGAAAAATGTCAAGCATCTGGCATCGTCTATGGTCTGGAATAATTTTACCTTTAGATGTCAGATATGACAAGTTGCCAATTAAATTACATGAAAATAAATGTAAGCTGCTCAAACATCTTGCAGTTGTGACCTGGTTGCTAGTAAAGCTAATTGTTAGATTACTGCCTGTAGCTTATTGTCATGGTATTGTATGTGCAATGATATTTATGTGGATTTTATGGAGCTTCGCAAATGGTTGTGGGGAAAAAATTGGGGGTTTAAGATGATTTTGTTTTTTGCAAATTTATTTGGGCAGCACGGTGGCACGGTGGTTAGCACTGTTGCCGCACAGCAAGAAGGTCCTGAGTTCAATTCCACCATCAGGCCGGGGTCTTTCTGTGTGGAGTTTGCATGTTCTCCCCGTGTTTGCGTGGGTTCCTCCGGGTACTCCGGCTTCCTCCCACCGTCCAAAGACATGCAGCTTGTGGGGATAGGTTAATTGGATAATCCAAATTGTCACTAGGTGTGAATGTGAGTGTGAATGGTTGTCTGTCCCTGTGTGTTGGCCCTGCGACAGACTGGCGACCTGTCCAGGGTGTACCCGCCTCTCGCCCTATGACAGCTGGGATAGGCTCCAGCGCCCCCCGCGACCCTGAAAAGGATAAGCGGAAGCGAATGGATGGATGGATGTGTAGGTGGTGTGTGAGAAAGCAGCTCTAACAGGAGATAAAGTGAAAACTAAAACACTGAAAACCAAGCATGTCTGACATGTTTGTGACTTTATAATGAAGTGCATCAGACAGGAAAACAAAACCTGAAACTGGGAACTGACTGGGAATAACAAGGCAAGCAAGGAGCGCGGGGATAAGGACAGGAAACCTGAGGGAACACAGCTGGAATTAATCAGACAGGGAGAAAACTGAGCACACTGAAGAGGGCGAGAGACTGTGGAAATAAAACAGGAAGTCCGATTACCATGGCAACAAAGACCAAGACATGCAGGCTTGACACTTGGACTGGGAAAAAATAGATATGGGAACATGACTGACTGGTGAGAGAGAGAGAGGGAACACTGAACACGGGAACAAGAGACGAGGCCGACAAAACCTGGCAGATGCATGTGGTTCTTTTTTCCACAATAACCACACAGTAACAGAAAACACATAAACACCGATGCAAACGACAACATGTACTGTAAGTACCGTGGTGACATCAGCATTACTCAGAAGTTCCTCCCTTGTCGTTTTTTAAGTTATCCCTCAGTGGACTCTGCAGTGCGATCACAATGAGTAACATTGCAAAGCTACGGTGAGCTGTGAGTGTTTCCATCTCTTAAGACAGTTTTCCAGCTCAGCCACAGGAACTCAGGGAAATTTCACTTCTTGATGGGCTTATTTATGTATTAGAACTATTTGCCATTAAACATTTTGTAATGTTTTAAGTAAATCTTGCAGGCAGTGTGAGTAAACGAGTTCTCTCTGCTCTCTTCTCTCTTTTTAGCTTGGTGTCGATAATTCGAGGTCAGGTCCTGACAGCTGATGGAACACCTCTGATTGGAGTCAACGTGACATTTGTTCACTATCCTGAGCATGGATACACTATAACACGCAAGGATGGCATGTGTGTACTTATTCATTATTAATATTTTCATACACCTTTTATACAAACATTGTGCCTTTTCCAAAAATGTCTCCTCTCAGCAGTGGTTTAAAACAGATGTTGTGCATCGTCTGTTCACTAAATAAACTTGATGACCAGGGTGGTAAACAGGGCTCCTTCATCAACAACTAGAATAAAACCATTTTCTTATCAATGATCTGCATGTGTGTGAAACATATCCTGAAAGTAAAAGTGGATGTAGCTCCATGTAAATGTGAAACCTGCATTCTTTCAAATGCCCAGCAGGGGGGGGTCTCCTGAGTAACCCCCTCACAATCAGACACACACACGCGTGCACACTGTGTTTTCACATCCCTTAGCCTAAACCTAACTGTCACCTAATTATAACCCTGACATTAAAAAACACCTTTAACTTGTGGGGACCAGGATTTTGTCCCCATAACAGTGTTGGTCCCCACAAGCATAGTAAACCTCCTATTTTTGGTCCCCACAAAGATACATAAACACACACAAACACAAAAACGGACAGCCAACAACGGGAGAATGACATCTACATTGTGCTCTTACATTCCCACCTCAGCTCACACAGCTTCTTCATTCTCACGTCAGCTGAAGAGGACGTGTGAACGTGTGGGGAAGACGCTTTTTAAAATGCACTGGATTCACAGGGACGCACTCAGTCACTGTTGAACACACACACCTGCACACAAACAGACGTGCTCACACACTCCAACTGTAGGTATGTAATGCACACAATATATAGACACAAGATGCACATCAGCACACTCACAGAATTTAATGAGCCAATTACACCGTCACAAATGAAAGTTTAAGAGTCTTTGTCCTGCTGAAGTTTGCAAATCCACTCTTATATTCTGTAACAGTGAATTAAGAGGCTTTCCTTATTAAAGCTTGTATAATTCAGCTGCATGGTTCTCACACGTCTTGTTTCCCAGCACTCACTGTACACATTTGTTTGACGATGATGTGCTGACAGGTTTGATCTTCTGGCCAATGGCGGGGCATCCCTCACACTGAGCTTTGAGCGTGCTCCCTTCCTCACGCAGTACAGAACTGTTTGGGTGCCGTGGAATGTCTTCTATGTGATGGACACGCTTGTGATGAAGAAGGTGAACGACTGAGGGTCTGACTGTTGACACTGCACTGAATATGCAGATACGACCTTTGTTTCATTTACTCTTTCTGTCACAGATGTATTCGGGTTAAATGAATAATTGAATCAGTGCTGTGACTGCTGAGCTCACCTTTCCATATTCAGTGACCGACACATGTCGTGTCTGGCTGTTTCAGGAGGAAAATGACATTCCCAGCTGTGACCTGAGTGGTTTCATCAGACCGAGTCCTGTCATTGTTGCTTCTCCTCTGTCTACATTTTACAGAAGCTCACCTGAAGATGGCCCCATCATACCTGAAACACAGGTAATGAATCAATCAGAGGACTTTAATGGGAGCTAAGACACTTTGAGTACGATCTCTGTGTCTGTGAATAAGTTTGCAATGTAAAAATAATGTAACACTTTGTGCTAGCTGTGTTATACTTGGCGAACTTAAATCTTTAGGTTGAGCAGATTAAAACATGCATGTGTTTTGTATGTGTTTGTCCATATAAAAAACAAAGCCAGTGTCTTTGCACATGAATAGGACAGCACATCTATCTGTGTGGACACGTGTGTGTGTGTGTGTGTGTGTGTGTGTGTGTGTGTGTGTGTGTGTGTGTGTGTGTGTGCGCACGTTCGAGTGTAGATCAAAAGCAAGCAAATGGAAAACTGCTCCTTAGCTTTTGGTGGAGCTGGCTCCATTAGAGGGAGGGCAGTGAGGCCGGCCTTAAAGGCATGAAATGGATCTGTAATGAATGCTAAATGCGCAGCTAATGAAAAGGCAATAGTGCAGCTGAGAAGTATAACACTCCAAATGGAGTATTCCCTCAGGACTGTTTTTCAACGTAGTCTCAATCAGTTCTTCTCTCTCTCTTTTCAGAAGTCTTCTCAGCTTCTGTCCTGTTGCTTGTAGATCATTTACCTCACATCGCTAGGATAGTTCTTTTTGTCTCATTTGGAGTTTAATTGTGTATCTTTTTAAATGTTTATTGACAGACCCCTGAAATGCTGTAGTTTAGACCTTAAAAGTACAAACATTGAGACAAACTCATACCTCTAGATTTGTGGAAGTAAACTGCAGCAGGTGGAAGAATCACAAGCAAATCAGGAACATGCAGTCTCTGCTGTGTAGCTGGAAATGAAACTCAGTCTTCTTTTCTATTGTTTTGTATTCAATAACTTCTTTTGGTTCTAACTCCACGGCAGTCATTAGGCACTAGGCAGAGCTTTGCAGGGGGGCAATGTCAAAAGCTTTAGGACCAACTCCTGTGACCTGCTCGTATTTATGGTTCTGGGAAAAGAACCATAAATACATCATCAGATTTAAATGTGGCTGATCGTCTTTGATGGCATGTCGAGACAGCTTCTAGCTGCTATTTTTAATCTAGCTCTCTAATTTGTGACTGCTTACACTTCTGCATTGCATTTGCACCACAAACATCAGTTTCTCTTCACAATCAAAATGTGATTCAACTGCAGACTTTCATCTTTATTTATGTTTAACAAAAGTATTACATTTACTCAGTGGTTCTCAAACTTTTCACATCATCCTCACATGACAGGAAGAAAGATTTTCACGCCTCATCTAAACAAAGCAATGACAGAAAAGCCGAGCTGCAACTTTATTTGGATAATAAACTCATTCACGGTGAATCCTTCAGCAGTTTCAGCAAACAACGAGTGAAACAGATTGTGAACGTTGCCAAACATGGAATAAAGTTCATCGTTAGTCTTATAAAACTTGTGAACACAGATGAAATTTAGTGAGAGTTTTTGACTGCAGAGCTGTGGCGGGGCGTGGTCTGCGGCGTGGCTGTGGGGGAGGCGGGCGCACCTGAGCGGCCTCTGCAATCACGCCTCGCCGGCTTAAAACAGAATGAACTGGGTCCTGTCGTTGCTGCTGGTGTGTGTAGGCTGTAGCTGAAAAGCTGCAGGCGAGTGTAAGTCAACAGATGCAATAAAGAAGAGTAGTGAAAAGTGCGAACACGTGGTCGGGTCTCTCGTGCCCCAGTCCTGGGTTTCAGCATCACTGCAAACGATGCGCGACAGACCCGACCACATGTTCGCACTTTTCAGTACACTTCTTTATTGCGGCTGTCGACGTCCACACGCCTGCAGCTTTTCAGCAGATGTGCATATGATTAACGTAACTGCTGCAAATTTCTTCTTTCTGCTATAGAAGTGATTCCGATGGTAAACAGTAGTTCTGCATGACTTTTCTGCCAGGTAACCTGCACCCCACCTGTCAGAGCTCTGCACCCCAGCAGTGGGGCGTGCCATGCTGTTTGAGAACCACTGCGTGCATTAACTGTTCATTAATAATGGAATTTTTTATACATAATCTCATCTTGAGAATCTCCAAGGTAAATGGACAGTTCACTGACAAGCAGCGGCTTGCCCAGGTGCCTATGTCCTGATTATTGTCTGGCAAAAGAAGCAGATAAAATATCTGGAACTGATTCAGTGTGTTGCATGCACACTGGGACTGTGATTGTTGGTTCTGGTTGCCTGGGTGAAGCTCTAGCAGCTCATATGTCAGTCAGCGGCATTCTTCCCTGTCATTGGTAGTCTCCTGAGTCACTCCTCTGAAAGTTTATTGTGGGTCTGGCGCACTTGGCATCGACAGCAATTTTGCGCTTAGTACAGCACTTCAGTTTGCATGTTTGTGGAGTGTGGTTTGTGGCTCAGCTGCAGGGGACGGGTAAAGCAGTGGGTTCAGTGCAGGGAAGGCTGGCCAACACAGCTGATATCATCACTCTAACCACATCTACCCTATTTCAAAGGGACAGAGGAGACAGGTGGTGTGAAGAAGGAGTAAAAGAGGCCATCTCTTTTCACTGTGGACAGCCATCATTGAACACACAGTTGGCTCACTTTGGCTATCAGAAAGGTCACAGAAGTATCGTTATGATCTGTTTTATGTCTTTGTGCGTGAGATCCACCGATCGACCATATTGAAGCTTCATTTATTTTTATTTTTTATAGTTCTAGGTAAACTGAACAGCCTTTCATTTACAGCAGTTGCATTAGTACACACTTTTCTGGTCATTCACACATCCATCCATCCATTCGCTTCTGCTTGTCCTTTTCAGGGTGGCGGGGGGCACTGGAGCCTATCCCAGCTGTCATAGGGCGAGAGGCGGGGTACACCCTGGACAGGTCGCCAGTCTGTTGCAGGGCCAACACACAGGGACAGACAACCATTCGCACTCACATTCATACCTATGGGCAATTTGGATTATCCAATGAACCTATCCCCACAAGCTGCATGTCTTTGGACGGTGGGAGGAAGCCGGAGTACCCGGAGGGAACCCACGCAGACACGGGGAGAACATGCAAACTCCACACAGAAAGACCCCGGCCTGATGGTGGAATTGAACTCAGGATCTTCTTGCTGTGCGGCAACAGTGCTAACCACCGTGCTGCCCTGTGTCATTCACACATATAAATGAAAATAAATCTAGCTTGTCCAGTACTGTGAACCAGAAATAGATTGAAATAGTTTTGAAATGGGGCATCTTGTAATCGGAAGGTTGCCGGTTCGAGCCCTGGCTCCAACGGTGTCGGTCGTTGTGTCCTTGGGCAAGACACTTCACCCGTTGCCTACTGGTGGTGGTCAGAGGGTCCGGTGGCGCCAGTGTCCGGCAGCCTCGCCTCTGTCAGTGCGCCCCAGGGTGGCTGTGGCTACAATGTAGCTGCCATCACCAGTGTGTGAATGTGTGTGTGACTGAATGTAGTGCTAAAGCGCTTTGAGGTCCACAGGGACTAAGTAAAGCGCTATACAAATCCAGGCCATTTACCATTTGGAACCGTGGGTACTGATGTGTCTGGTGTGTTTCGTTTCCTTCTGTAGGTTCTACAAGAACAGACATCAATACCTGGCAGTGATCTAAACCTGATCTACCTTAGCTCCAGAGCAGCAGGATATAAACCAGTGCTGAAAGTCACCATGACGCAGACATCAATACCTTTCAATTTGATGAAGGTGTGATGAGTGATATTTCCCAGCATTTCAAGTTACAGCTAAGACAAATGCCTACCGTTACTGTTTTCTGTGAATTAATCAGTACCATGAAGTTAACCCTTTCCTGTCAATCCAGGTTCACCTGATGGTGGCAGTGGTGGGCCGCCTCTTCCAAAAATGGTTCCCTGCACAACCAAATCTGTCATACACATTCATCTGGGACAAGACAGATGCCTATGGCCAGCGTGTCTACGGACTATCAGAGGCAGTCGGTAAGTTTGTACAAATAGAAAATACAGGCAGTTTTGGGCATTTGCTATAAGGGTTGGTATCTGACAAATCCTCAGCATCACATATAGGGCTTTAAACAGTGTCACTGCCACTCTGCATGAAACAGCATTAGTTTAATCACGTTTGCAGACACTTTTCTAACAATCTCATCTTTTTCTTCCTTAAATTGTTTATCTGAAGTTGGATGTTAATGTGTTAGTTTCTTAAAAGTGTTTTGAAACTTACAACATGTAATATTCTGTTTTCACTCATAAATGCAGAGGCTTGATTTTTCCATCATCTAATGTGGTGTGTCTAAAGCACCAAAACTGACAACAACAACAGCGATATCAACAAGGAGCTCTTTCTATGAGAACTTGAAGTTCCACCTGTTGCTCAGGGGACAAAACAAAATGGCTCGGCCATACGAACTCCTCATGTTAAATATAAATCCAGATGCCATCGTTGTCTTCGCTGTCTCACCTTGACCGTGGTACTGACACTCACTAGTCTCCAGCCTCCTTCCTTCTGCCGAGTGTACAGTCTCAGGGTGCTGGACGTGTGGTCAGGAGCTTCCTCGTCTTAGATGTCAGTGGCTTCCATCGCCTCCTTTGACCAGCTTATTATCCCAGCAGGGTACCTGATCACGGGCAGGGCGTAGGTGTTGATGGCCCGGATCTTGTTCTTTTTATTCAGCTGACTCCTCAGGACTTGCCTGACCCTCTACAGGTACTTGGTGGTTGCAGCTTTCCCAGCAGCCTCTTCATGGTTCCCATTTGCTCGTGGGATCCCCAGGTACTGGTAGCTGTCCTCGATGTCTGCAGTGTTGCCATCTGGTAGTTCGATCCCCTCGGTTCTGACTACCTGACTACTACACTTCTCCAGTCCGAATGACATTACAGTGTTGCTGCTGTATATCAGTGAATCAATGTCTCGTTCATGCTTGGCGTACAGCTTGATGCCGTCCATGTAGAGGAGTTGTTACTAGTTGTTTCGCTGTCACTCTGGATCCCTCATCCTGTGCATGTAACCCCTTCTGCTGGGATTACTTGTGTAGTAGCATTCCAACAGTGCCCTATTTTCATCTCTGCCCACTTATGCTACCTTGTTCCAGTAGCCCGTTTCTCATCAGCATGTCCTGTTTCCTCAACAACTGATGCACCTTGTTAATCTTGGCAACGTCTTAGTCGGTATAGCTTCATTTTTATGTCTCTCACTCATGTCCAAGGTAGGCTTGGTTAGCATCGGGGGGGGGCTTGTCTTGCCTAGAGCCGCTTACTGGATACAGACGCTCCGCCCTGGTCGGGAGTCGGACCAACTCTAATCACTGGACACATCTTTTTATTTAATGTTTTTTCTTTATTAAAAATTGATGTATAA